TAATTCCACAACTAACTCACTAACCACTCAACTGCTACTCGATTTTATTCTGAAACAAGCCAGAAAAGGCGCAGAGGGCAGAGAGAGTGTCTTTTTTTAAATAGCCATTAGCTAGTAGAGGAAGTGGGTTACTATTGTGCTTCCAAATCGTGTCCAAGTAAGTAATAATTAGGGTTGAATCCTGAGATACAAAGGGCTGCTTTGCTAAAGAAGGGAAATTTTCTCAAAAGGTAACGCCCGCCATTGATGAATTGGAAAAGAATCAATCTTAGCGACCTAAACCCCTTCAATGCAATGCAAAATTACCAATGACTTCTCTTACTAGGTTTGGCACATTCCTCTCGTTACCAATTCCAACCAGATGCTTTTATCCAAACCTCAACTGTCACTTAACTGCCCGGGAAAATCCAAAACTGTATTGGACAAAATCTTTGGCATTTATATTTCAGTGTAAATTCTCGTTTATTTTTATAGGGTTAGTTGTATTTCAATATGCGGAAACAATATGTTACTTCGAAGATATCCTATAAAAATCTCTGATATAATATCAGTTTATCAAACAAAATCCATCATTATGATTTATTTATTTTTTGCAAATACGTCTGATTATGATTTTAGGATATATAATCAGTTTGTGTCTGGAGTTGTTGGAGATGTTGAGCAATGGAAGTCACTAGAGGAAATTGAAGTATGAATTACGAGTCAAAGAAATTTTTTATTATGACAATTGAGAATTGACGATATATGGATTAATCTAAAATGAGTTGAAAATGTCAGCACTAGCCACACCCCACACATATTACTTGAGAAATGAGCAAAGCAAATCCTTGAGCACCTCTACTCCCCATAATTATATTGTCTCATGCTCACGACCTAACCCTCAAACTCTAACTAACACTCTTAACCATATCCTCAAAACCTTCCTGTTGGGGAGAAAATAATTTAGTTAGATATTAGTCCAACAAAACGAGCATGTTAATCTCGAAAAAACAAGTTTATGATGGTCGACTATGAGACTAGGCAATTGAAGGAGAGTCAAGTTTAATAGACTAGCTCATTTCCATGTTACAAAGAAAGGGATTGTTTTGACAATCGAATCCACAAAGTATCAAGCTCTGTGATTATCCTCCATCCTGTATTGGCGAGCATGGTGAGATTATATTCCTAGGTTGATTGAAGGTATGATCCGCCATTAGTTTACAGTTCTTGAAAGTTGATCCCACGAGACTAAGTGCATATACGTCTTCTCTCCTTTGTCTCTCCTACACAAAATCACTATTGCAGTGATGAACGACAGTATAGACGCATACAATAATTTAATAAATAGTCGGAGTCGCGTTAGATAAAATCCTAACTATATCCGATTCAAATGTTTCATCAATGGGAATTTCTTCATTGAATAGAATTTATGTATCAAAGTTGACTTTAAATTAAATGTATTTACGTGTATAGAATACCTTCACAATAAGCAAAATGGTTTGGTCGAAGGTAATCGAAATTCGTAAACGCAACTGAAGAAAGGACCATTCTATATATCTCTTCGCAAAAAGTAATCAATTACCACTAATGGGGCACTTGTTTCCTTGTTAAACATACCTTCCTCTAGTACATATGGGGTACTAATTAATTAATTGACACCCCCATGCCCCATCCAATAGTACGTCAGCGGCTCACTGATCTTTCGATAATTCCCAACTACGCAATTGGTTGATATGGTTGAAAAAGTCTTGATACTTATCCTAACTAATCATAACCCTTTTACAGTAATCAAATGGTTTATTGGAGAATAAAACTTTGGTCGACTAAAATATACTAAATAAGAAGAAAAAAAGTTAAGGATGTGTCAATGATACTCCAACCATTTAGCGTGTACATAGTACATATTAGCATCAAATTAGACTTTAATAATGAAATTTAAAATTATTAACAGCTGGTATTTATTATTAAATAGACCAGAATTACAACTCTTCATACATTTTCATTTACACATATTGATAGCAACTCGTTGCTATCGGTTTAGGGTTTGTTTGTAGCTCACAAGCGAGAGAACGACGTAAAGTGTCGAAATACTGTTTTAGGTTTATTATTTGATTGATAAATCGGACTAATGTCGTGATTACAATATATAGGCGTCTAAACCTAATACGTAACCCTAGCTAACCTGAACTCTATTAACCTAGCCGAACCCCTCTCACTCTCCTAGGCCTCTCGGCCAAACCACTCAAAATCCTAGCCCACGCTTACGTACTACACTTTGATCCATGCACTAATGACCTAACTAACTAATGACTCAAACATAAACCCATAAAACAATTAAACATATGAAACTAACCCAAATCCCCAACCTATCTCTTCTCGTCAACGAGTGTCCATGGGTTGCTATCACATATATGACCTACGTATAGTGATGGCGATTCAGACCAATCCCGATGGATATTCCCCGTCCAGCCCTGTAATGGTGCGAGTAAAAATCGACATGTGCTAGAACGGGGCGGGTCTTGATTCGACCTGCATATAGAGCAGGGAGGGCATGAGTATAGTCGTCGCCCAACCCCGTTCAAGAAATGTGTATTTTTGTAGTGACTCTCAATTTTTCTAACCTTGTAGTTGCATATTGCCTTCCTTTCCTTGGCCGACATCATCGTATCTTCAATTAACCCACTGATTTGATATGTTTTGGGAAAGGGGAGAACAAGAACCATCGTTGAGAGCGATCGGATGGTGGTAGCTCGCAACTCTGACAACTGCACTAGTTGCTCAACATCGCTAAACAGGGCAGGGCGGGTTTTACCCACCACGCTGGGCGAAGCTTGGAACAAAATCAATTGACCCATCACGGGGCAGGGGGCAGGGTGAGTCGTGTACATGAAGAGCCAGACAGGGTGTAGGTTTAGTGGTACCCGCCCGGAATCACCTAGTTGCAATCACTATATTAGTACCTTTTTCAGAAAATTAACATCATTTTCAAATAAATAGGATGAATAACCTACAGTTTTCACAGTATAGATGTGTATACCATAGACGGTCTGCGTAAGAAAATAATCCGAGAGGCGGCTTATCAACCAGGGAAAGTGTGAGGTCAAAGGTCACATGGCCGATTGGTGAATCCTTGTTGGACTCTCGTTCTTGATATGTGAAATCCTGAATTCGACCCCCTTCGAGGGGCCCTTTCGTGATGTTTCTCGGCCGCGCTAATGAGAATATTAATGGAGGGCCCAAATGGATCAGGTAGGTGAACCCCAAATTTGATCTTGCTCTTCAATTGCTCAAACAGTGTGTGGAGACCGGAGATGTTCCTGTATTATATATAAAAAAAAGCGTGAGTAGGATAGTTGATTGAATGAAGTGAATTGGGTTAGTTCAGTAGGCATGTGGATGATTATGAAAAGGCCCGACCCGTGACAATTGCTTAGAATAGACCCGTGTATTGTAGTAAGGAATGTCAAAAAGTGAAGCCAGTTGCAGAATTCCACTCCTTTTCTTCATGTCCCAAAAATAATGCTATTGCCCGAATCCATCCAAGATCGCTTTTCCCCCAACTCGACAACTCATGACTCATGCTCCCCTATAATTTATGTAACTTAGCGATATGGAGGAAAACATTATATAGGTAAAAACAAAACCTAACCAGGGTGTGATCTAAGCTAGTGTAAATGTGGGTTTGCGAACATCCATTACATTTTGGTTCGATTTTGTGAGGTTAATAACCAACGAAAAAATTAGGGGGTGTGTTGGTTTGGGTGTTTTTCTCAAATTTTAGGAACATAATTTTTTTTTTCTTTTTTTGTTGATAGGAAAAACTGGGAACGAATTCGTTTGATGGAATATTTCAAAAGAGAATACTATAACTTTTCTTAGAAGAAATCCATCACATAAAAAATAAATTTTATCTTGTATTCAAATTCATAAGAAGAATTTAAATGTGTACACAACAGATTAACCATTGACCACCATGAAAATAACACAAACGTGACGATTGCAAAAGCTCAAATGCAGGACCTTCTATATCTAATTTGTGAAATTCTAAATTCCACCAACCCGTGGTGATTAGAAAGATGAAGATGGATAGTCATTTAAGTCAAATAATTTTTGCCAGTGGAAAGAAAATTAGCTAATATATTAAGAAAATTAGTTGCTCACAATATTATTGAAATGAATTGATTTTATAAATTATTATTTTTAGTCTAAATTTAAGAATATATTCCAATTTTAATTTTTAAGTGCGTCAATTTGTATGAAATTTTCTTTAAGTTTCACTTTTACTATTAGTTTAAAGCTTTAAAGTGAATGATGCGTTTGTTCTGATTTTTCCCCTTTTCCAATTTAAATATTAATTAGGAACAATAAGTTACATGAAGCATAACGCATACATTTCTTAAAAGCAATTAAGAAGATGATGTATCTCTCAAAATCAAACAATTTCCAAATACAATATTATACCTCTTAAAAGCTAGCAATTCACTATCAACAGAACTTGAAAGAGAAACCAAAATCATTTACAATGATTCTTAGTACGATAAGCAATACTTATAGACTCGACTCGTATCACAATAAAATTAAACTTTAACGGCTAACCTCAACCCACTTAGCTACCGAGAATAATAAATAAAAATGCACAAAAAATGCCAAAAAGAACCCAACATCATAAGAGCTCAACCCAACGAAATTGGGCATTTTCCCCATCATATGATTGTGTAGTGCCATTTATCACCTTGTCCTATAGGCTTATAGAACTTGTTCATACTCATTAACCGTAAAATGCTGGCCTAATGATTATTATTATTATTATAATGGAGATCATGTGAGGATTCAAATACCATAATATTAAATGAATTTCTTCCTCAAATACTCTGATTTAGCAAATACCATATCTCCCAAGTAGAAAGTTCTTAAAAACATTTATCACCAAAATCCGGAAGAAATACTAATAAACTGGAAAATGAAAACGACCATCGTCTTCACTTCCCCAATAATGCCATGTGAACCCAACCCACGTAGTCCCTACACAAAACAAAAACCCCCCTTTCTCCCCTCTGCTCTGTTCTGTATATAAGAAAACCAGAGGACCTCCTTCCTCCTTCCATTCACAGGACAGGGCAACCCCCTCCATTTTTACTTACTTAAAATTACCCCAAAAAACTCCCTCCTTTTCCACCCCACTGCAATTTCCCCAATACCCACCAATTCATATTATTGAATACATTGGTGATGATGGAGGCTACAGGTCGTCGTGGTACAAAGTACAGAAGCCAGCAGGTGGCGCCAGTTTTGTCCTCCTCCACCTCCCTCATTGTCATTACCATCTTCTTCTTCTTCTTCTCCTCCTCTCTGTTTCTCGCCACAGCCGAGTCCTCGTCACCACACCACAGCAGCATCAGCGACAACAACAACCACCTCGACGATGTTCGGTACAATGTGACGAGGCTGAAAGGGAGGAAGCAGACCAGCGGCGGCTGCAATTTGTTCCAGGGGAGATGGGTCGCCGACAGCTCCTACCCTCTGTACGACTCGGCGGCCTGCCCTTTTGTGGACGACGAGTTTGATTGCCAGAAGTTCGGCCGCCCTGATACCCAGTACCTCAAGTACTCTTGGCAGCCCGACTCCTGCAACCTGCCCAGGTAAATTGAAACACTTACTTACTTACTTACTACAATTTAATTGAATCGCGCAAGGGGTTGGTCTAGTGGTAACGTGCTACGGAAAGTGCAGGTTCGATGGCGGGGATTTCCTGGAGAGGTGGAGGGGGAAGAAGCTGATGTTCGTGGGTGACTCGCTGAGCCTCAACATGTGGGAATCGCTGTCTTGCATGATTCATGCCTCGCTGCCTAATGCGAGGACCAAATACGTCAGGGGGACGCTCGCTTATGTCAATTTTGTGGTAAGTTAGTTTTACTGCAATCCCTCTTCTCCTCTGCTCTGCTCTGTATTTTGCTTCCTTCTTTGCTCATCTTCTTTTCTATGTTTTGCTTTATTTTGAAAACTAAAATTGGGGTGAAAATTGGAAGAACAAGGAAGGGAAAGTATATATATATAATTATATATAATATAATAATACGTAAATAATGGGTTCAGCTCCCGTGCCGTCGGTGTTGATTTGTCTGTGTGGCGGTGTATTTCATAATGTTTCGTGGTTTGGCTTTTTGTTGGACCCTTCCTGCTGCTGCTGCTGGGAATGATTTATTCGTATCCTGGCCATGGCCCTGCTTTTAAGGCACGGAAGAGAAGGCCCGGCTCTCTCTCTCTCTCTGTCTGTGTATTCTTTTCCTGCTTCCAAAGAAGCCTCCAACTTTTCTTTATTTTACTAATTCTACTACTAGCATCCAAACCCCAATTCACAGAATTCCATAACGTTTCCTTATCCATGTGATCTTCGCTGATTTTCATTTGAACCCCATTCTGATTATAAGTATTTGCCATTTTGATTTGAATAAATAATGGTCAAGCCAGTTTGGTCCCGTAGCTAAAGATGGCAGCAGCAGAAGAGGCTTTTTCAGTTTCATATGGCGTTTCATTTGCAATTTGCCGTAGCCAACTTGGGCTGCCTGCTGCTGCTGCTGTTTGCTTTTTCCATGGAAAATCAATCATTCAATCAACTCATGTTCCTTCTGCCCACATCAGAAAACAGGCTAGTTCAACCGAAATTTTGGTTGGTCAGATTAGTTGGCAATAGACCCTACTACCACTGAGGACCGGCCAACTAGTTAGTAGGGAATTGATCACATTTCATTACATTAATTAATCCACCCATTATTTTGTTCAGACAGCTGTTTTTGGATGAGAAAGCCGCCTTTTATTATTGTTGACAGCAGCGTGATTATGTTGCGCATTAACAATTAGCGCACATGAACCAGTCTCATCGAGCACTGCTTGCTTGGCTTTTAGTGAAACCTTCTGTTCTTCTCGTGCAGTAGAAAAGTCTTGGCATTGCATCATTTTCCTGTTAAAAATAACCTTTAACTATGGTGGTGCTAGATCACTAACTCAAATGGCGACCTGTTGCCATGTCGGACCGATTACTACCTCTGAAACTATGCTAGGATGGTAAGTGATTTGCGCAATCTTAAGCGCCAGTGTATGCGGTGACAATTTTGTAAACGATGTTTGCGCCGGTGATGTACTGCTGAGAACAAGCAGACCGTGTATGTGGTGACAATCAGAATTTGCATTTTCTAAGCAAGAGGTTGGCCGTGTCAATCCATATGTTTGCAGGATTACGGGGTGACACTGTACATGTACCGGACGCCGTACTTGGTGGACATAATCCAAGAAAATGTCGGAAGGGTACTGACGTTGGATTCCATTAGAGCAGGGAATGCATGGAAAGGGATGGACGTGCTCGTCTTCAACTCCTGGCATTGGTGGACTCACACCGGCGCCAAATCTCAAGGGTAAAACAATATCAGCTTGTCCAAATCCCAGCCTCCATTTGTTGCTTGCAATGTAAAGATATAGATTCTCTTAACCGCTGTGACAATGCAGGTGGGACTACATCAGAGACGGATCGTCGCTATCCAAAGACATGAACAGGCTAGATGCATTCAACAAAGGTTTGAATACATGGGCTAGATGGGTGGACAACAATGTCGACCCTGCCAAGACCAAGGTCTTCTTCCAAGGGATCTCCCCCACCCATTATCAGTAAGCTTATATTCATTCCTAGCAGTGCCTCCTATCTTTGGGCTTCTGCGTTTCAAGTTAAGAGGGGACTTACTTGCCGATGATGTCTTGTGAAATCCAGAGGCCAGGAGTGGAATCAACCAAAGAGGACTTGTAGTGGAGAAGCAGAGCCCTTATCCGGGTCAATTTATCCCGCCGGTTCACCTCCAGCTGCTGCAATTGTGAACAAAGTGTTGATGACAATGAAGAAACAAGTGTATCTACTAGACATAACGACTTTGTCGCAGTTGAGGAAAGATGCTCACCCTGCTGCTTATGGTGGTGGTGGAGGCACAGATTGCAGCCACTGGTGCTTGCCTGGACTGCCTGATACCTGGAACCAGCTCCTTTATGCAGCTCTCATCATGTGATCATAAACACAACAGTAGAACTTAGTCTTCTCCTAATAGTTTTTGGTTTGCCTTCATCATTCATCTCTCCACCGTCGCATATCCCTCGTATTAAGCATACGGGGTTGCGTCAATAAGGAGTATAGTTTGATTTGCAAAGTGATTGGTTTCCTAAAGACAATAATTTGTCAATAGATAGGTAATGATTGAAAAGTGCTGATAACATCTGTAATCACATAAGTGATAATGGTTAGAAGTGAGAATTGAAAGTCTGTAAAAGATGATGTTTGGTTGTAATGTGTCATATACCTTGCCTGAAGGCCACAGGGAGACTGCAGTAAGCTCTAATAAGTTTGTCCCAAAGTGTTATATAATAGCAATGCATTCTCAATAACATTCTTCTCAGCTACCAATTCGTCAAATTGACTACCATTAGTAGATAATAGAAGACTAAAGGTTCCAATTCAGCAGTCCTAATGTAGTTCTTAAGAAACTAAATTAATGGGTCATCTAACGAGAGAACCAATATAATCATAGTGCATAGAAAAATCGTTAAAACTGATGAAACCGTCAAGAGAGAATACAGCACATAAGAATACAAGCAGGAACAGACTACAGATGGTCCAAGCTAGTCTTCGGAAAAGCTGATAGAAGTTGGGGTATTTTACAAGAAAACTAAACCAGGTCAACAACAAGAGGATGCTAACCTCGAAGAAACCTTGGAAAGGGAAAGGAAAAACTAGTAGCCAACATAAACAGCAGCATTCACAATGTAGCAGTCATCATTCTTATCACCCATTTCTTCTACATGTACACCACTTGAGCATATCAGTCCACCATCAACGACTTCAACACTCACAATCTTCCCACTGCAATTTTAAACAAGGGAAAACTTATAAGAATAACAAAAGCAGGAATACTCTCTATACCCTCTTGACTACTCATATAGCTCGATCATTAAACCCAAGTTATCAGGGCAGCACAAAGTTCCTCGAGAAAGCTCAAACAAGTTCAGCTCTAATCTCCTGATATAAAATCAAGCATGGTGTCCCGAATTGACTATAGCTTCAAATTGGTCTTGATTTTGTCGACACAAGTACATAGCTTTGGAGAGAACCCAAACGGAATTGTTTTGGGGAAGGAAAGAAACTGGAATAGAAATACATCAAATGAACCTACAGGCTACAACGCAAAATCATGATGGCCTATGTATATATGGGAATGGCTACTTACTATGGGAACACGGATTTCACCCGCTCTATATCCACGTACTGCTGCAGAGAATGTGGGACTCCCAGTTTGATCTGTAGTTTCATTTGCTCAAATGAGACTCCAGGAATAGACCCTAAAACCAAATTCCGCCATGGATTATAAAGTGATACGATTGTGATAGAATTGTTAGATAGACCAACCAAAAAGCAAACAATAACATCAAACCCATAAGACCATAACTCAACCCAAATCACGGATTGAAGACTCTCCATTCTGCTACAACAGAAACAAAGTGCCCCCGCAAAACCAAAATCGGCCCTAATTGAGATGAGAAACCATGCATACCTCTACGGAAAGCAGGAATCGAATTGGAAGAGATAGCGTCCCTGCAAGCGCGCGTCGCCGCAGCATTTATATCCTGCCTGCAATTCACAGTTTCAGGCCGCGATCAATTTGACATCACTCGGAGCAATTTCTAACAACCTAACGCAACCGTTCTTTCCAGGGAAAAGAAAATGACAAACAGAGAAGGGAAGAAATGGAGAAAAGGGTACCCGTGTTGGTCGTAGCCGACTCCCATCTCCACGAACAGTAGCTTCATGATTCCATCGGGGTTGTCGACGGCGCTTCCGCTTTGCTCGGCGGCCATGGGAGTTGCTGCTGTTCTCAGCCGAGAAGGAATTGGTGAACGAGGTGAGGGTTTTGGGAGGGAGGTAAAAGCAGGGCAGTTGATTGGATTGGATGGAAGGAATTTCGGAGTGATGGCCGGCCGAAGATCAACGGAGGTGGAAGAAGAAAGAACAGAGAGATTTAGGACCGATGGGGTCGATGTAGTCATTTGGAATAAGTTGTTCAGCAGCTGCAACTCACTCAAGCTTGCTTCGAGTTTTTACCATAATCAGAGATTTACGGTTTTCGAATGGACTTTTCCTTTACCTTTTCAGTAGTCGCGTGTAATTTTTCCTTAAAAATAGCTCATCCTGGCAGCCCAGCTAAACCAGAAAGGTTTGTGCTTTAGGGATCCAATAAAGTGCAACTAGACATAGCCCGAACTCCTGGCTAGTTTGGCCCAAATTCCAGGATAGAGGGTGGGAGCGGATCTAGTGAGAAACCTATATGGTTCTCGCTGGAGTTTTCGTCTCCGTATGGTGGCGACGGTGGGAACGAAGCCTGCAGGTCTGCAGGATGATAGGATCCACGGTGACCATCTCAGTCGTGGTGGGTGGGATGGCAATGAGTCGGGTTGACTCAAGTTTTGTCAAAACAATTCAAATTTATGGGTTTATTCGTCAAGAAAAAAAATTCGGGGTAAAATTTACTGGGTTTGGAAAACTCAAATCCAACCCAACCCACTGGGTATTGTCACGGGACGAGACTTCCGAAGCCCGTGTTGCGTCTTGAGTTGCATCAACCCTTAAGACCAGTCTCTCCACATACGCATGTCAACTGGTTTCGCTCTACCTTGTGCTCATCAGGGAGGCGGCAATAACCCCCGACCAGTTACGGACGTTAATTGAGTTTCGGACTAAACTCATACGTAATTGCGAGATTCCCAAAATATCCTCCAACTCAGCCTCACCCTAAACCCTAATATTTCCTTCTCTACCGAAAACAACTTGCTCTCGGCGGCTGGGGAAATCAAAGCAAGCCGGCGGCCGTGCATGGAGGTGGGGGTGCCGAGAGGCAGACAAGGAGGAGGACAACTGGCTACTACGAGAGCAGGTTGGTTGAGCAGCTTGGTCGCGGGGCTGCTTTTCCCCGATGCCAGGGCAGCGGCGTGTGCTCTCCCTACGACGAGAGCTGCTTGGTTAAGCAAGCTCCTCGGGCAGGCGGTTGTGGTGGGATTCGCCATGGACAGGGCAATCTCTCTATCACGAGAGCTGGCAATGCAATCTCTCTACTACGAGAGAGTGCGGATCCTGTGACTAAGGGGGGGTCCTTAGTCAAGTGACTAAGTCCTTCCTAACCCTTAGATCTAGATATCCTAATCTAAAGGTTGAAAAGTGGGAAGGGATATTTAACTAACAAAAAGGGTAGTTGTGGTATTATAAATAATTAATTTCCTTTTTCTTTACTTTTTCCCCGGTCACACTTTTCAACTACCTCACGTCTCTTTCTTTTTTTTTAATACAATTCAGCTGCTTTTTTATTGGAGCTGACTTTTCTTTTATTAAATGATTTTTAAACTTCCCAGTCCAACTCATGCACATGCGTTTCCTTGATTTTTTTTTAATCAATTTTTTTATTATAAAAATAAAATTCACAGAATTAAAAAGTATACAAAACAATATTAAAAAGTATTAGAACCACATAATATAAGTATACAAATCAAGATAATATTATATACAAAGATTACTAAAAACAAAAAAATCACTACTAAATATTACATAGTATACATACCACATCATAAAAGTATACAAATTAATATTACAAAGTATATAAACCTGTGATCACATCATAAAAGTATACAGATAATACTGACATTGTATACAAAGCATACTAACCATACAAAATACAAAGCATACAAAACATACAAATCAGAAGCATATGAATGTTACAAACATGACCGACAAAAATGACAAACATGGTGAACAAAAATTACAAAACAAACCAACAAACATTACAATCATAAAAAAGCTTACAAAATTACAAGATAAACTGACAAACAGTACAAACCATACTAACAATACAAAACACCACTACTTATAATACAAATCGATAAACTGGAATTACAAACCAATAAATACAAAGTATACAAAATAGACAAACAAACATTACAAATTACAATGTATACAAATTAGTTATATAAACATTACTAACATGGTAGATAAAAATGACAAACAATACAAACCGAAAATGATATAAACATTACAAATGAGACTTATAAACACTACAAAGTAGGTTGACAAATATTTCTCTCTCTCTCTCTCTCGTTGCACCTGGTGGAAATGGTGGAAAGAATTCCCAGAACTCTCTCTGGTTGAACTTGGGGAATAAATTCCCATAACAAAAAGACAGGCGATGGAATTCCTTGCCGGCGGGGAAAAAAAACGAGACGGACGGCAGCAGAGAAGAGCCGGGGAAAAAATTATTTAGTAATTAAAAATAAAATAATCATGGACTTACAGTTTTGCCCTTCATTAAAGTAGATTAATTGTAGCCATTAGATTTTAATGAGATGGAAGGGCTGAGATTTACTTAGTCACCTGATCTTAGCCCAAGAGCTGTTTGGTTAAGCAAGCTCCTCAAATCGCATCATCGATGGGCAGCCCTCCCGTTCATAAGCAAGCTGGTGTCCGACAGCGGATATCTGCATGCAAAAGTGATGGGAAGCCCTCCCTACTACGGGAGCTGCTAGCTTGAGCAAGCTCGTCCATTGTTAAGCAAGTCTTGGATCTTCGTCGGCAAAGTGACGGACAGCCCTCCCTACTACGAGAGCTGATTGCTTATCTGTTGTTATTGCCATCCCCACTGAAGCAAGCTGGGCCATTGTTAAACAAGACACTCTGTATGAAATAATTGGAGCAAAAACCAGAGCCAGTTTCGACAGAAGTAAGGTGAGTGTAAAGGGGGTAAATTCTACGCCTTGCGTATTTTTCAAGTATCTGCCTTGCTTGTTTAAGAAGTTGTTTTATGTGAAAGTGTGTGCTTGCTTATGATTATGGTTGATGATGTGTGCCTTGTTTGACTTATGACTTGAAGTGAATGGTTATTATTTACCTTGAAATTTTATGAGTATAAGTTATTGTTAAAGTTTAAGAAACAAGGTCTTTTAAGAAGTAACTCACCTTCAAGAAGGTGAAGTCGTTTTAAGTGTTTTTAGTCACTAGCGCCACCCCGTTGACATTTGAGATTTTCAGATAGAGCAGCAGTTATGCTCTTGAGATCTTTGAGACAGAGCAGCAGTTATGCTCTTGAGACTTTTAAGATGAGCAGCAGTTATGCTCTTGAGAATCGTGGTGAAGAGCCACCACGATAAGTTTAAGATGTTAGGGGGATGAATCGTTACGACTTCCCTAACTAAGTTTAAGTTTAAGGAAAGCCTTGATGGCTTCTCATACGTATGAGTTGGCAACCGAACTAGCTAGTGGGGGATCCCAGTGTCAGTCAAGTATTTAAGTTGAGATTTAAGCTTTAAGAGTGGAGAGTAACAGTTACTCCCATACAGGTTTAAGAGTTAAGATTTTTAAGAATGGAAGTACAAACAACTTCCCTCAGTTTGAGTTTTAAGTGTTTGAGAAGAAGTGCAAAATTATTAGAAAGTTTAAAACGTAAGGGTGTAGACTGACCCCAACTCACTCACCAGGCCTTAGTAAGGGAATGAGCGAGAACCCGTTCAGTAGCAGCTAGCTAGAGGATAAGTTAGAGAGCAACGAGTTCGAGAGGAAAAGTCAAGGGCAGCCAGCTAGAGGAGGGCAGTATAAGCGTCACAGAGGATGCTTAGCCAAGGTTTCAGTAGCAACAACAGTAGAGATTATCAGTTATTTACATTTATGATTATGAGTATAGACTGGAGATCATATTGAGATTTAAAGTTTGAGTGTAATTTGCCCACGTGTTAGGGCTTTGCTCGGAACTACAAGTGTGTTTTCAGTATTTTATTTATGAAAATTGTTCCCGTTGCAATTTAAGATTTGAGTATTTTATTTGTCAAGGGCATTTTAGTAAAAGTAGTACCTGGCCGGGTTAGGGTGGTACATTTTGGTATCAGAGCCTGGTTCTTCCTCTGTTCCTTGGTCTCCACGGAATACTGGAATGTCGGTCTCAGTTTTTAAAGGTTTTATTTTATAGGAAAGGAAAATGAGTCAAGGGTCTCCTTTTAAGAGTTTATAGAATCTCCAGTCTACTCTAATCGTATTAAGGTAAATAACTAAAGTTCTAATAGAAGAGGTTTCAATCGTAAAGGAATACCTCTAGGATTTTGAAGGAGTTGAAGGAGTAGTACGAGGATTCCACTACTAGGCATCAAGGAGAGGATCTAATAAGCAAAAGCAAACAAATAGGAGAACTATGAATCTCCGAAGAAAGAGCTACAGTCACTAGATGTCAGTAGCTATAATGATGGAGGATTTCAGGGTCCTTGACCCTAAGCAGTGGCGAGGAAGCAACGAGCCAAGAAACGAAGAGGTACCACGAGAAGTCCCTCAACTAGTTTTAGTGGTCAACGCTATTGCAACATACTGACAAGGAGCCGTGAAAAGCTTAGACTTCAAGAGAAGCTAGGGTGGTGTAAATGAATTGAATGAGGAAGTAAGTAGGTTAGAGGGGGTCTGAAAGGACGTCAAGAAGTCAATAGATTAAGGAGGAGGGGAGGCATGGTCATTTACATATGACGACAAAGGAACCCTTATAGATAAAGTACGTCACTAGTGAACAAGGTTGAGCTAGAAAGAGGATGTATTGGGATATGAGAGACCCTACAAACTACCCAGCATCACAAAGGTCATGAGGTCGTTGAGACCATTGAAAGGGGAATGCAAGAGTTCACGATGATATGTTATGGGATTGTCCTATCCTAAGTGGATGGAACACCTAGCCACCTAGGGTACATGAGGGGTGACAGAAGGAGGAACCTCTGTAATAAGTTGGAACTAGAGGGCTAAGAGCTGGAGTCTCAAAACCAGTTGTAGGAGTAAGTCATTCAACCAGTCAAGTATAGTCAAGCAAGTAGAATGTTCATTAGAAGTTCAAATGAAAGTTGGAGAATTCGAGGAAGAGTCTACACGGTCATAATGAAGAGAGTTTGCGAACAATACCAAGGAAGAGCAAAAAGGCCAGAGGGAGTTTGACGAGATTTCAAGAAGTCAATGGGTCAAGTCTCAGGTGACTCGAGGTCAAGAAGCTGCACAAAGAGGTACGATGAGGGAAAGCATTACCGAGAAGGAGGAAAAAGAGAAGTTACCTTATCCAAGGTGCCCCACTCTGAGTGGGCGCGACATGGTAGGAGGGCTCCAGAGGGGACAACTAGTTAAGGATGGAACTGGCACATTTAGTTAAGCCACTAAGAATCCTAACTAAGAGACTAAGTTTATGTACAAGATC